CCCCCCTCCTGATCCGTTGTCGGTTCTCTATTTCTCCTCGGCGAGCGTCATTCCGTTTCCAGAACATGTGGGTCCGCCACCACTCTTACTACGATACTGTTAGAGCCTCCTGGCAGCAGGCTACACATCTCTATGGGATGCGCAACCTGGAGGAGAAGCTCAAGAGACTCCGATGTGCTTTGAAGCAGTGGAACTGGACGATTTTTGGTGATATTTCTCAGCGCCTTATTGCAGCTCAGACTGCGTACGCGGAGGCGGAACAGACCTATGATTTGGATTCTTCGCCAGAGAATAGGTCCGAGATGCGCCGCTGCCATGCTGAGTACCAGTTACGCCTCCTAATGGAGGAAGATTTCTGGAAGCAGAAGGCTGTTGTGCGCTGGGTGGCTGAGGGGGAACGTAATACCAAGTTCTTCCAGGGATTCGTGAGGCAGAAGCGAGTCAAGTCGTATATCCATAGTGTCGAGGACAACAGGTCTTCCGTGACCCAGGAGTCCCAGATACGGGAGTCGGCTAAGGCTTACTTCCACTCTCTCTTCTCCTCTGAGCGGGATTTGCTTACGCACCCCGACCCGGCCCTCTTCCCGACCATCCCGCAGTCGGTCGACCTTGTTGACCTCTGTGACCTCCCGAGTAAGGAGGAAGTCAGGGAGGCTGTGTTTGGGATAGATCCCAACAGCGTCTCCGGACCGGATGGTTTTTCGTCCCTCTTCTTCCAGTCCTGTTGGGAGATCGTGGGTACTGACGTAGAGGAAGCTGTGAGGGATTTTTTCTCTGGCCACCAGATGACAGAGTCCTTCACGGCAACCTCCATCATTTTGATCACGAAGAGATCGGGACCTAGCACTTGGTTTGACTATAGACCTATCAGCTTATACAATGTGACTAACAAGATCATTTCTAGAATCCTCAACAGTCGCCTCGCCCCTCTCCTCTCTCTCCTTGTCTCTCCGAACCAGAGTGGATTCATCAAGGACCGAGTCATTAGTGATAATATCCTACTGGCTCAGGAGATGATACACGACATCTCTCATGCGAATCGAACACGAACCCCGAACCTCGTGCTGAAGCTAGACATGGCCAAAGCATATGATAGGGTCGAGTGGTCGTTTCTCAAAGAGGTACTGTCTCGGATGGGATTCCCTAACCGTTGGATTAGCATTGTGGAGGCGTGTGTGGAACACTGCACATTCTCCGTTTTGATTAATGGTAGCCCCACGACCTTTTTCCCTTCTACTCGCGACCTTCGTCAAGGGGACCCCTTATCCCCTTCCCTTTTTGTTCTAGTGGCTGACTATCTCTCTCGCTCCCTTGACGGCTTCATTCGCGATTTTCCGAGGATGACCTACAGCACGCGTGGCTGTGGGCCTTCCATTTCCCATCTTTCTTACGCGGATGACATTATCATTTTCACTCGTGCGAATGATAATGGGCTAGTTGCTCTCATGAGTCTTTTGGACCACTACAGTGAGACATCTGGTCAGCTAGTCAGTATTAGTAAGAGTACCTTTATCATGGACCACCACGTTGCAGACCATTGGGCCCACCAGATTCACGAGCGTACTGGATTTGCTCGTGGGGACTTACCCATCCCCTACCTTGGGGCCCCCTTGTACAAAGGCCATCTTTCCCATGAGCTTTTTATTGACGTCCGTCAGAGGATGATTGACCGGATTTCTGGCTGGTCCCATAGACATCTATCCTTCGGCGGCCGACTTGCTCTGATCAAGAGCACTCTCTGTGCCCTTCCTCTTCACCTTCTCGCAGTGCTTGACCCCCACCAGTCTACGATTCATGAGTTAGATCAGATCTTAGCCCGCTATTTTTGGAGCTATGGCGAGGGCCCGCGAGGTCGACGGCAGACCCACTGGGTAAAGTGGGACTCCATCTGTCGTCTCCACTCGGAGGGTGGGCTCGGGGTTCGGCGTTTCTCCGATATGGTTACTGCGTTTTCCTACAGGATGTGGTGGCGCCTTAGGGAGGGCAAGTCCCTTTGGGCCCAATACCTCCTGAGGAAATATTGCCCTGGTGGTGCTGCTCATCCCTGCAGGGTGACAGCCACCGCTCGGGATAGTCGACAGTGGAGACGTCTCACCACTGTTGGCAGACGTGCTCAGAAGCACATCTTTTGGACCTTGGGTTCTTGGGGGGTTAGTTTCTGGGATGAGTGGTGGTTCGGCGAGGCCCCTCTCTCGAGTACTAGACCAGTCACTCACATGCCTTTCATGCAGGTGAAGGACCTTTGGATGGGAGGTTTTTGGGATAGAGATAGGATGGAGGATATTCTTGGTGAGGGTGGGGGTTTTAGTAGTCTAGAGATTGACCAGATCCGACAGATTCCCATTATGGAGGGAGGTTTGGATGGCATGAGGTGGAGACTTACATCTTCGGGTGCATTCTCTACGTCTTCAGCCTGGGGAGAAGTGAGGCTGGGCAACCGGCCAAACCGCCTCTTCGGGGCCATATGGACCGACCTTCTCACCCCGACCATTTCCGTTTTTTCGTGGCGCCTCCTCTTACGGCGCATTCCCATTGACACTGTGATGCAGGCGAGAGGGTTCTCCTTCCCTCCCGCTGCCATTGTTGTGCTGAGACCGGTACCTTTGAGATCGAGACTTTCACCCATCTTTTCCTTGAGAGTGAGACTGTGAGGAGAGTGTGGGAGCACTATGCCAGATATACTCATATACCCCTACCCACTACATATAGTCTTTTTGAGCTTCTGAGTTTTTTCGCTCACCGCACACACAGTAGACACGTGGGCTTCCTTATTCCTTGTCTGATCCTTTGGGCCACCTGGACAGAAAGGAATAATGCGAAGCATAGGGATATTATATTTTATTGTGCTCACATTATTTTGCAGGTTGACAGACACCTCTCTCTCCTCACCGCCCTGGGTAGACTCACGACGAGAGACTGGACAGGGTGTACACCGCCCCATCGTTTGAGGCCACCACCTCCTTTTCCTGTCCAGCATCCACGTCCCAGGACCGTTGTTTGGCTGAAACCCAAGGCCCCTTGGGTTAAGCTAAACACTGATGGCGCTTTCGACAGACATACCGGAGCTGCTAGAGGAGGGGGCCTGATTAGGGATCATAGTGGGGCACTCATCTCTGCCTTCCATGGGCCACTCCGGGCCTCCTCGAGTTATGATGCAGAGATTCAGGCGCTCCAAATTGGCCTCGAGATGGCCGCCTCAATCTCCTCTCATGTTTGGATAGAGATGGATGTTGCGGCTGTCATCACACTTTTGACATCTGACCACCAGAGCTCATGGCAGATCCAGCATCCTCTTATGCGTATCAGAGACACCCTCCGCTCGATCCATTACCAGGTCTCACATATTTTCCGGGAGGGGAACCGGCCTGCCGATTTCCTTGCTAGCACGGGGGCCTCTATACCCCAAAGACGCACCCTCCTTCCTGAGGACATTCCCCTCCGACTTCGGACGCTCATTCGGATGGACCAGTTAGAGTACTCATCCTTCAGATTCGGCCGACCGCCACCTCCTGCCCCTAACTAGATTCGGTCGACCTCTTTTGAGGATTCGATTTTAGATACTCATCATATATTTTTGTGACCTTTGTATTTTTATTTTTATTTTATTTTATTTTTAATTTTTTTTTATTTCCTACTTTCTCTGCTTCTGATGTTGCTCCATTTATTTTCGACTTGGATGTAGAACATTGACTTTTTAGCCCTAGCTGGGCCTTATATTCACAGGTTGGGGGTGTAGCCTCAACCCCCCATCCCAATCTGGGATGTTTATATATATATATATATATATATATATATATATATATAAAAAAAAA